ATTAGTCGACTAACTTTTTAGTTAACTAAAATTACTAGACTAACTTTTTAGTTAACTAAAATTACCAGACTAAGCTTTTTGTTAACTAAATAAACGCGACTTTGTTTTTAGTCCAACTAAAGAATTTTATAAATATATAATATAAATAATTTGGGTTCATGATATTATTTCTATTAGAATTTTTGAATAAGATTGCGAATGCATAATCATTTTATCGCATAATACCGCAAAAATAAAAAAATATCAAAATAATTTTCTTTCAATTTTCAGTTCCAAAGGTTTAGTATCAGTGTATCAAGATACTTCAAGAAAATATTATAAACAAGATACTTCAAGAAAATTTTTCATAAAAAATCTAAAATGTAAACATAGTAAAACACAAATATCTATAGAATTGAATAAGCTACCAAGGCCAACGCAAAGGGGTGTAAGGATGGGTTGGTTGGTTTTGTGTGTGACATCCCATCAATGAACTTTTAGCTCATTTAGTAAGCCAATTTGACTCTTTTAGATAAGTAAGTTGGCAAATGTAGATTTTCAGAACAGTCAGTTGGTAAATTTAAAAAAACAAGATTTTTTTTTCCTTTTTCTAGTAAGTAAAATTTTAACGGCACTCTCTACGTGTTACCTACTTGTGCCGGCCCTGTAAGCTACAGTATATTACAATAATTCCGTTTTATTATGTGCCACTTTTTTGGATCCAAATTATAAAATTCTTTGAAAAGTACAAGGGAAAAAAAAAATTTAAATGCGTTAGAGAATTTTTGTCAAAATTTCACAAAAAAAGTTTGTGATATAATTCTATTTAAAAAGGTGACAAACAAATTAAAAGTTTTAAGTTATCATTTGATGATGAAGATGATATTTCCGGAAACGATAGTGACAAAATAATAAGTTTAGATTTAAAAAGAGAAATTAGTGGTTATATAAAATTGTCAGTATATGAGCAAAATGTTTTTGCACTTTTGGTATCAAAATTAACATGTGTTTCCAATAATGTATTGTATTTCAACAAAGATTTTATGTACGCCTACTACCAGTGCACTAAGTGAACACCTTTTCTCTGAGGCATTAAACACTTATGCATGCAAAGCGAAACGTATGCAAACTTATACTTACGTATGCAAAACAAAACAGAATAACAACTGAATTTTTTTAAATATTGATGTTTTTGTACAAAAATTTGGAATTTTTTAATTTAGTTTAAATTCATTAAATTTAATACTGAAGTTTTTTCTTGTAATAAAAATTTTTTAATATATTTATTGTTCTAAAAGAAATACTATTAAATTTAGTATTCGAATATTTTCCTGGTTTTAAAAGCGACCGCAGTTACTTAATAAAATGTTTTTGTTATTTAACAGTTAAGTATTATTTAATACATTTTATACACTATTCAACAACTTATATTGCGGATATTGCATTCAAAAATGCAAATACCAATTTTCCTTTTAAATTTTGCAAGTATCGCCAACCGACGAACAACTATACTCTGAAAGCAAAAAAAATAAATTCATAATAACTTATTTAGCAATTTCCTTTTGAGTTCATGTCAATACTTTCGCCTGCCTTACTATAGTGTTATAGTGGGTTGTAATAGCCGTTAGGAGAGGTTGATATTTGAAGAGGTGGGGAGGGGGAGTCATAGATTTGTTGTGAAAATTAGAGATTGAATCCATTCCTATAATATGGCAGGGGACAGGGCTGTACTGAACAACAAAGACGTAGGGGGAGGGGGTGAAATTGAAATAAGCTTTTTTACCATAAAAATCTCACCAAAGTAGGGCTTTTTTTTATTTAAAAGCCAAATTGCAGTTTTAACCGACCGAGTCTCAAATTTTATAAATTACTGACAAAACCGACAGAATGTTGTAACCCCGGGAAGGTGCCCATACTCACCTCGGTACAGCCTTGACAGGAGAGATTATTTCTGATTTGCGATTGTTATTGAACACTACCTATTGGAAGCAGCACATAAAAAGTATAAGTTAAACGTTCAATAAGTGTACCAAATTTGATATATTGACTAAAGGACATTATTTGTATATTCCATGCTGATTGGGTGTTTATAAACAGTTGCAACAACTTCATAGGCAGTTGTCTCAGAGCTGGGAAAAAATTAAAATAATCAAATTTTGCCTAAAACATTTCTTTTGAATAACAGTTTTGTTCGACTGGGCTCTAGGATTCACAACTAGTAAAGTGTTTAATCACGATAAAATAATATTTATCGCCTTAATAATGCTTCCTCGTGTGTAAAATTTTTATGCGAAAAATTATTTCTTTTTTCAAGCACTAAATCTTGCTTTAGTCAACTAAATTTAGTTACACTAAATATTTAGTCGACTAAGTTGAGTTAACTAAAAAGTTAGTCGACTAATTTTAGTTAGACTAAAAAGTTATTCGCTTAATTTTAGTTAGCTAAAAAGTTAGTCAGGTAATTTAGTTAGCTAGAAAGTTAGTTGGGTAATTTTAGTTAACTAAAAAGTTAGTCGGGTAATTTTAGTTAACTAAAAAGTTAGTCAGGTAATTTTAGTTAACTAAAAAGTTAGTCAGGTAATTTTAGTTAACTAAAAAGTTAACTAATTTTAGTTAGACTAAAAATTTAGTTAAGTATTTTTAGTTAGACTAAAACTAACCTTAACTCCCACCCCTATTATTGTAATGTTTTCTTTAATTGTCCCTGTAATTGTTATTGTATTGTCGTTTCTTTCATCAAAACCAATACATTGTAATTTCAAATTTTCATATTTACTCCCAATTGCATATTTTTGTCTTGTTCTACCATTTTCCTATCAAGAATATTTTATTGATTTAATCTTTCCTTGTCTTTTAATTTTAATAAAATTAATATTTTGTCTGTTGCAATTGACACAATATTAATCTGCCACAACAGCCAATTCATTGTAAATAATTTAAATTACACGTGTTTAGAACATCAACTTTATAAAATTTATCATTTTTACCATTTTATTTTCATTAGATTCATCTTATTTGATACTTTCCTTGAATTTGTACAAAGTATGAGTAATGCAATCCATCTCTTTCTCATTTTATGCCATATATTTTCAATTTCTGTAGTAATTAATTGGTAAAGTTCATTAGCAGAAATTGACCCTTTGCCTTTAGCGTCTTTATTTCTGTACAATATTTTACCATATCTCTTTTTGAAGGCATCATTGCTGTTGGAAATTCAGAACCTTGCCCAAATGTTAAATTGTCAGTATTACTCTGTGTATGAAATGCTACCATGATATAATGAGTTGCTTTTAAAATATATGTTTATATTATAAAATATTTAATAAGTATAGACGCTTAAATGCATTAGATAAAATAGAATTAAAATTTACTCCAGCTTGTACAAATTATTCCGAATCAACTAAGATTTTATTATAGCAAGGTAACTTGTTCAAAATAATATAGCATAATAAAATCCTATATAAAGTTTATTTTTATAATTTTATATAGGATTTTATTATGCTATATTATAAAATGTATATATAACTAAAAATTTAGAAATTAGTAGTGTATGATTTAAATAAAATAACTAAGAGATTTAAATGAGATAATTGAATTATTGATTAAATGAGAGATTTAAATTAAATGAGAGATTTAATATATATATATATATATATGAGTCGGCATTCAGCAATGCTGACCTAACTGACAACCTTAAAGTGTTTGAGGTTGGCAAAAATTGCTGATCTCATTTCTATATCTTATGGTAAGGCCTTTGAATCATTTTTTTGCCGACCCTTAAAAGATTGAGGTTGGCAAATTATATATATATATATATATATATATATATATATATATATATATATATATATATATATATATATATATATATATATATATATATATGTATATATATGTATATATATGTATATATGTATATATGTATATATATATATATATATATATATATATATATATATATATATATATATATATATATATATATATATATATATATATATATATATATATATATATATATATATATATATATATATATATAAAATTCAATATAAATTTTTATATAAGTTTTATTTCTTTTTAAATTTATTACTTATGATACTAATGTATTTAAATGTTTTTTGAATTTAAATGTATTTATTTAAGCATAGTTTGGAAGGTCTTATTAGAGCATAATCGAATAACTCCTGTTTGCCATCAGTAAGAAGGTTTTTTTTTTCAATATAATGTTTTTGTGTTAATATTAAATAATTTTTTCAGAAATAAAAGTAGACAAAAAAGAATAATAGTAAAAAAAAAATTTTTTTCCTATAGACACAGTATGTCAAATAATTTTAATCACGTTATAATAATTTTTATAAATATGAATTTTTTAATGTATGAATTTAAATTTTTTAACCAGATTTTTTTTTTATATTATATTTGTATCAAATAATATTTTTTATCCAGATTTTTTTTTATATTAAATTTGTATCATATTTTTGTGTGTGTGTGAAGAAATTCATATTCTTATCCTTAAAATTTTTTTTTTTCAATTTTAATTGAGACAAATTGAATTGCTTTTATTCAGCTACTTTAATTTTGAAAAGATTACATAAATTTTTAATTGGATTAAGGTCTGTTGACTGAGGAACCCAATCAAATATCTTAATACTGTTTTTTTTTTCAACTAATGTGTGTTTTTAATCTCCATCCTGTTAAAAAATAAAGTCGCAAGATAAGCATGCTCTTCTAGTGCTTTTAGTTTTAATTTCATTGTATCAGTACCAAACCTCTTTTTCATTGTATCAGTACCAAACCTCTTTTTCATTGTATCAGTACCAAACCTCTTTTTCATTGTATCAGTACCAAACCTCTTTTTCATTGTATCAGTCACTTTAAAACATATATAAATTAAATAACACAATTAAAATATCTTCTTAAAACCTCTTTTGTCATCAATCTGTCAATGAGTTTGAGTTTGCCAACACCACTCCAAGTAATAGAATCCCAAGCCATCATTTATTCTATAATAAAAAGAAAAAAAAACTTTTTTTTTTTCATTTCCATACAATGCTATTAGAAATAAACATATTTTTTGTTTCATCTGACCATAAAACTTGTTGCCATTGATTGAAAGTCCATTGTGAATGTTCCTTAGCCTAAGATTCTTTTTACTCAATAAAGACTTTTAAATGCAACTCTACCTCAAAATCTTTATTTAAGCAATTGTGAACAGTTTGAGGAGCTACAGGTATACCATGATCTGTTTATAAATCTCGAGCTAACTTAGGTGCAGATAGTCCTTTATCTTGTTCAACTTCAAATTTCATGTGTCTTCACCATGATTTTATTATTAAGAACTTGTAGAAAAAACTTTTTTTGCTCAAAAATTAGTTTGAATAACTTTATTCAACCAAATTTGTTTATACAACAAAAAAGTTAAAAAAATAATTAGAGAAACTTTTTTCACTTTAACTTTTCCTGATTCATTAATTTTTTTTTTTTAAGTATAAGATTATGAATTTCTTTTTATTAAAATGTCATTTGATGCAAATTCAATATATATATATATATATATATATATATATAATATATATATATATATATATATATATATATATATATATATATATATATATATATATATATATATATATATATATATATATATATATATATATATATATATATATATATATATATATATATATATATATATATATATAAATATATATATATATATATATATATATATATATATATATATATATATATATATATATATATATATATATATATATATATAAAATCAGGGTGGAAAAATTTAAATTTAAATATTAAAAAATTTCTTTTTATTAAAAAATTATCAGGGAGTGATTTTTGACATACTGTATCTTTTATATGTATAGATACTGCATATGGTCTACCTAATCTTTTAATGGGTCAACTTTAAGCCATTCTGTGTGTGTTTATGTGTGTGCGTGTGTGTGTGTGTGTATACACATATATATAAATGTATATATATATGTGTGTATACACATATATATATACATTTATATATATGTGTGTGTATATATATATATATATATATATATATATATATATATATATATATATATGTGTGTGTGTATATATATATATATATGTGTGTGTATATATATATATATATATATATATATATATATATATATATATATATATATATATATATATATATATATATATATATATATATATATATATATATATAAAAGAGAAAGGATTTGATCATTTTTATCATAAACAATTTTAAATAGAGTGGAGTTTTGGTTGAGTGAGATTAGTGGCTAAGTAAAGTGGTGCTAAATAAATGCACATTCAAACATGATTCAAAAGAAAGTACATAAAAGTGTGAACCTGATTCAAACCAGTGTGATGATTCAAACCTGATTTTATGACAAATACGTGGATTGATACAAAAGTATATGCCCGGTGCAAAAGAGTGTGTCAGTTTATAATCTTTTAAAAAAAAGTATGAACAAGTTATAAGGTATAAGTAAAAGTTGTGAAATATTATGGAGAATTCAAATCTGGTTTTGATAAGGTGATTTACCTTTTTTTTTGTGGAAGTTTTAAGAGCAATAGGGCGTGTTGATTCAAGTCTTTACGTTTTTTATTTTAAATGAAATAAAAAGGTTACTAAGTAAAAAGTGTTACTAAACAAGTTCTTTAAAATAAATGATATTTGACTCAATATGAATAAAATTTATTTTTGTAATAATTTTGCAAAGTAACTTTTAACATTTTTTTAAGACATAAAAATATTTTTAAAAATAATTATTTAAAATTGTTTATGTTTTTTTTTGTGGTCAGTATATTATTTTCTATTGCTTTATTGTTATTACTCTAATATATATAATCTCTATTACTCTAATAATAACTCTATTAACTTTATAGTTGTAAATTTATATTGTTAAATATATAGACCCATCATCTGTAAATAGATATTGTAAAGTAAATAGATTATTTAAAGATTATTAAAAGATTAAATAGATTATGTAAAGTAAATAGATTATCAATTGACAGGTTAGATTTATGGTAGTAAAAAATGGTTTTAAATAATAAACTCTTATATTGAAGTTGTCTAATTATTGAAACTCTGAAAATCTATATTTTTTTGTCTTTAGAATCCTTACAAACCTTTCTAATAAAAGTCATTCATCAAAACCACTTGCAAATGGTTGCAAGTTTTTTGCTGACTATTTAGTTTTTGATTTTAAGTTGTATGTTAATAATCCACAAAATGCTGCTCAAGTTTCCAAGGTAATTCATTCATGTTTATATTAATTTTGGTGTTTTCATGGTAATAAGATTTAAATGTGTTGACATAAATATTTCTTCATAATTCACACAAAAAAATTTTTTTTCACTTAATATCCGAACTATTCTTTGTTCAATTCTATATTAAGTAACAAAAAGTTATGTTGAGTTTTCCTGTTTGGTTGCATGTAACAACTTTCATTTTTAGAGATTCCAGTATTTAAATGACATCATTTGGAAATATGAGATCATACCTTTGGATCGTCTAATATTAAGTTTGGTATGATTTATTTTGTAAAAGTGTTGGGGAAGGGGGGGGAGGTTGAGGGGGTTGTTCTTTTCTTTTTTTCATACTTAATAAAATTTTGATTTAAGTATAGCTTTAATTCAATAGATGAAAAACTAAAATATTTTATGTATGTTTGTATAATTTTTTATTAGACTCTTCGTCCTCATGATGAGAAAAACTCTCAAATATGTTTTTATATAATTAAATGGTTACTTCTGCAACCTGCGGAACTAAGATTAAGAGTTAAAAAGTTTGCTTCAGAGGTGAAAACATTGTTTTTGCTTTGTGCTTTTTATTTTTAAAATTTAAAGTATTGTATTTAAAAAATACATTATTTTAAAACTTAAATGTATTAAATTGAATATAATCATTATTATTTTTTAGAATACTCCTCAACATTGGACACAAGTTGACTGGAATGAAAGGCACACTGCATATCATGATGTATGTTAGATATTGTTAATAAAATGTTTAAACTTAGTTAACTTAATTATTTAAATTAGTCATATATTTATAAATTTCAGTTAGTAATCTAACTGAAATTTATAAATATATGACTATAACAGAAATTTGTTATGCAGGTGTCTTAGTTATTGTGTCAGCTCACCCCTAATTTAATATATATATATATATATATATATATATATATATATATATATATATATATATATATATATATATATATATATATATATATATATTGTGTTCTGTCTGATTCTTAAGCATAGTCTTCACCTACTTTGTATCTTTGTGTTTTTTTTGGACTTCTAGCATTGTTTTCACTCATACATAAGCTATATGTATGTTTGTGTTCTGTCTGAATCTATGACGCAGTCTTTGCTCACTCGTAAGTTTTTATATGTGTGTTTGTGTCTGTTCAAAGTTCTGGTATAATTTTAGCTCAGTTACCAAGTAATGACTATAACCACTATATAATATACTTTCAACATAATTTTCCTTTTAGATATGTTTTTCTTAATGCATATCTAAAATTTTCCATTTAATGTTTTAAAGTATTGCTTACAAAAGTAATTTTTTTAAACTACTTCAGGTGAGTTCAAGTTCAGGATCATCATGATCATCTTGCTACTGGTAATATGTAATCCATTACTACCTGCCTTGTGTCCTGCAGCTTATCAGGATATGATTTTCTAGGCAAGGGCTAAGAAAAAAAGTCTGTTTTATAATTATCCTGCCTTCGGGCTCTTGGTTGAATAAAGGCTAGAGATATTGTCTTGATAAAAATGTTCATCTTGGGTAGGTGTTAGTTGCATATAGCTACTATTTTGTAGAAGGTCTCCTAGGCAAAGAATTTAGAAGGTTTGCAGATTAGTTCTGTTGACCAGCCTTGTACCCCATCTTTATCTATTATGCTGGCGTAGGTGTAAACCTGTGTTACATTGTTTCTTGCCTAGGACAATGATACTGGATCTTCTTCACTCTACTAATTGATAATTGAGCATGCACAAGAAAATACAAAAAAACTTTTGAACTTATAAAATGGCTAGGGTTCTTAACTTTAGTGAATATTTTATATGGCAACAGTCCATTTGTTAATTAATTTTTGAAAAGTCAATGATGCAGCCTTATTATTAACGTAAATCAATATATTAATACAAAAATTTCACAAGAATATAAATAAAAAAAACTTAATTTTTATTTAATACCTTTTTAGTGTAAATCGCAGATTTGTTTATATATTTGAAATATATATATATATATATATATATATATATATATATATATATATATATATATATATATATATATATATATATATATATATATATATATATATATATATATATATATATATATATATATATATATATATATATATATATATATATATACAAACATATACTTTAATATATAAGTGACTAGTCATAACAGTAAAAACAAGTTTTTATATTGAAAAAAAGTTGAAGCAATGACCAGAAAAATATCATAAATATAGAACATATTTATCTGAAGTTTAAAAATAAAATTATTGAAATCTTACAGTCAGATATTTAGAAAATTGATTTCAAATATATAAACAAATCTGTGATTTACACTAAAAAGTTATTATTGAAAATTAAGCTTAAGTACGCTAAGATATTTTTAACCCTCTTTTTATTTATATTTTGGTGAAATTTTTGTAACAATATACTGATCTGCATTAGAAATAAGGTTACATCATTGACTTTTCAGAAATTAATTAACAAATATAAAATATTCTCTGTAGTTAATAACTAAGAATTGTCATTTTAAAAGTTTGTATTCTCTTACGCATGTGTACCTAAACATAGCGCTTGTAAATGACCGTGATTTAAAAGAGTTTGCTTAATATAATAAAAATATTAGAAAAGATCAAAGTTTTATAGTTCGTCGCATTGCTTTTAAAAGGTTAATAACTGTGTTAAGAGAATTTTTAAAAAATCTTTAAATTTTTTTTTAATATTTAACTATTTATGTTATTATTTTTTTAATTTGTTTTTGTATCCTTTTTTTAATTGATATTTAAAAATATATAAATAGATAAAAAATAGTCATATAATTATTTTTATTTAGACACTAAAAAAAAAATAAAAAAAGATTTAATTGCTATTCTTCTAACATAAACAAAATCTGTTTGAAACTCATACCAACAACGAGTTATTATATTCAACTTTAACGTAATTGCAAAGCATAAGTAAAAATAATTTTCTATTATAGCTTTAGTTTTCAAATTAATATTAGTTTAAGTTTTTTTTTCCTTTTTGTTTTTTTCAGCGTTTTTTTAATTATCTAAAAAGCCGCGATCAAGCTTTCAAAAAAAAACAATTACATGCGTGATCAAGATTGGAGTGCGATCGCACATCTTTCCTATCCATTTGTGGCTCTGAAGCCAGCTAGTAATAAGGTTTCCTGAACTCTGCGCTAGCTTTCATAAAGGCTGATTCCATCAAAGTATCAGAGTATTAACAGTGTCGTGTTGACGCATTGATGGTGTCCCTGTTAGTGATGGTATCCTTGTTAGTGTCCCTGTTAGTACAATGTTATGACTTTAGGTTAATTAGCAGGACTAAAGCAACTGGGTACTCATTGCTTCGAGTGCCATACTCTATGATTGACTTGAGTTCTCTTCAACTTGAAATGCAGTAGTGGTATAGTGGTAGAGTGCTTATCTCATAAGTGAAAAGTTTTTTACCCATCATGTCCCAGGTAGTATGCTCAACTTGTTTTTCTGCACAGCGGCCTTGTTTGTCAAAGTTTGTGTATTGGAGTTATAGAGTTGGGAGAGAGTTATAACCACAACTAAACTAGCCACCTTGACTGTAGTGGCCTTCATGGCCTTGATGAGGTGAACTGAAATAATAATAATAAAAATATGACTAAATAACCTAAAAATACTAAACACAACAAACTATCACCACCACCTAACTGTTTCAATCTATTGTTTACAAATATTTGTCTTTGAAGCGACTTTCTATCAGTTGAATTTTTTGAAAAATTTTGAAACCTCTTGCATAATTCAGAAGGCTTGCCTGCTCTTTGTGAGACTAATTTAAATTCAGCTGTTCCATCTTCGGTTGTTCCATCTTCGGATTTCAGTGTTGATGGCTATTATCCTCTGATTTGCAGAGACTCTATTTGTCAATTTTTTGTCAACTCCATTTGTCTTTTTTTTTATCAAGAAATCAGGTTTGAATTCTCTGACTAACCTTTAAGTGCTTCCGCATAACACCTCAGCACTCTTTTAGTAGTTTCTGACCAAATTGACCATGCTCTTTTTCTTTACCTTCTGCCAATATTGTTGCTATTGATAGCTTTAGTTCTTATTGTGCTGATAGGCTTTGGCTCTAACATCACTGATCCTGCCAGCACTAAAGCTCATAACTTTTGCAATCTCTTTTTCTGATAACTTTGTGAATCGTTTTCCGGACAACCCTCATTACCAGACCTCATCACTTAACTTTATTCCTTAATTTGTGCCTTGTCTCTGACCTTATTTTCAGTTTTTCCATTTTAAGTTTTCTTTTTTAATTTTTATTTAATTTTGTTACTTTTATATTTCTAGCAATATCCAGAAAGATACCATTATGAAGGAATACTTGAAGCTAACAACATAACTTTGCCTAATCTGCAATATCTGCCAACTTACTTTGGAAATATTTGTTTACGGTTTCTTCCGGTATGTTAATTTACCAATAATTTGGCAATTATTTATACTTTTGCTGTTTTTGCATTATCTCAAACTGTATTTGAAATATATTTTATTTCGGAATTATTTTGCCCTTTTTTGCTTAAATTTACAAAAACTTGATTTAATTACGTTGGAAGATACTGTTTCTAAACTTTTGAGTGAAAGCCTTTTTCAAAAAACAAATAAATTTTAATTAACCGTTAATTGCACAATTTTGTGTTTTGAATCAAGATAATATAAAGACAATATCACTATGGGTCATCATTTGGAATGACCCATAGTGATATTGCAAGCAAAATTGGATGTGGAAAATGCACCATTACTAATTTTCTGAATAAGTATAATGACACAGGAGAAACAGTGTGTTGATCTGTATTAGAAAGAAAGCAAAGATGGATGTATTGCTTAAGGTGTCATTAAAATTGGCGCATTTTTACAAATGAGATAAAAGCAAATAAGAAGTGTAGTTTTTTTTGGCCTTATTAGTTTTATTAATTTTATATTATTATATTTATTTTATTCACCTTTCTCTAAGGTTGAGGGGTCCACTACAGTAGGAGGCTAATTTTTTTTTTATAAATGTGGTTACCAACCTTCTCTTAACTTTTTAACTCTTTAACATGATTTTTGGCGAACAAGGCCGCTGCACAGAAAAACAGGTTAAGCATGGTACTACAAAAAACATAGTGGAGAAAACACAGAGCTTCTTTAACTGGTACAATTAATGAGTATTTGTCATACTCAACTAAAGAAAAAATGTTAACAAGCATTTAAAATGATTAAAACATTTTAAAAGCTAAAAATTTTTAAATATTAAAATATTGCAAATATTTCAATTCAAGTAAAAATGAATTGAAAATCAGTGTCAGAGAGCATCAGGTTATAGGACTTGTCAAATCGATAAATTTTAAAAGAAAAAATTTGTGCGAAAACTCAGGTGCTAACAGGTGTTGAAAAAAAGCCTTACATTTGAAGACCACTAAAACTTAGTGACCGTGACAAAAGTAGCATATTTAGAACTAGCAGAATGTATCATAAACTCAGCAGCAAAAAATCAGCTCAAAATGTACTTTTCTTATCAAAATGTAAACAGAGAACTTGGTAAAAGAACATAAGAATAAAGAAATTTTATTTCAAATTTCACTCTTGGTAAAAGAACATAAGAATAAAAAAATTTTTTTCAATCATGGAAAAAAATTTTTTTTCCATGATTGAAAACTTTTTTTAATCACAGAAGGAATCTGCAGTAAAAGTTTAGCAACTGAGAAATATTACAAACACTATTTACAAGAAAAACAACAAAGCAGTAGTGGCTCGTTAGGCATATAGGTGTGTTGATTTATGTTTTTTACCTTGGTTTGTGTGAGCTGTAAAATGGCTTATGTGAGTTGTAAAATGGTTTGTGTGATTTTTAATCATAAGGACTTTAAACAAAAAAAAAAAATTTTTTCTGTTGATATTTTTGTTGTATTTTCACATTGTCACTGACAATATGAGAATGCAACAATGACATCCCTGACAAAATTTCTTTACTTTAACAAAATATTTGTTATTATTCAGGTTTATTAATATTTTCATGGTTTGATTTTATTTATGATTTCTAAAAATATTATGATTGCTTTAACTAAGTTAATGTAATTAAGTTACATTGTTAAGTTAACAAGTAATTAACTTTAATTTATTAAACCTAATTCATATAAAAGTTTTTTTGTGCTGCAAATTTGTTAAACGTATTGGTGTTGCAGCAATCAAAAAATTTGTCTTGCTAATGACAAGTGTTGATTTTAAAAGTTGAACATAATTTTTCATTAGTATCTGTTATTTAATAAAAAATATTATTAAAAATAGGTTGTTATTTTCTGTTATATATACTTTATATTTTTATTTACAATATTGAATACTTTAAGAAATTTAAAAATATTTAATATAAAATGACTCCATGCCTAACCTTAACCCTCAGACAATGTTCATTTTCATACACGTTCTTTTTATAAGTCATTGTGCATCAACTGACTTTAGTCTTTGTATTTAAGTTGCTTGTAAGAAGATTTTCTTTGCAAAACAACTATGTTTATGGAGACAAAATATTTATAGCTACCAAAAATATCCCTCTTTATTTTTTGTTCTCATAAGCGTTTATTTTTTTGTATTTTTGTTACCATAAATGAAACTGTCGGAGTGTATATATATATGCATATGTGCATGTAAGTATTTATATATGTGTGTATATGTGCACATTTGCACATTAGCCCCCGTCATTTCCGCAATATTTTTGACTATTGAAGGTCATCATTTGATTTCTGGTGCATTTTAATGAGTAAATAGAAAAAATCATTTTCATTTTTATTTAAAGTTTTAGTTATTACCTTCTCCAGTGCATTGAAGTTTTTAGACTTTTCTTAAAATCTCTTTATTTTAAGCTATTAATGCGCCAATTAGGTTTGTACATTTATTTAGTCGATTTTTGCAATGAAACAAAACTTTTAGTAAACAATCACATTTTATTGTTCCATCAACATATTATAAGAATTTTATTTATAGATATTGTTTAAAAATCTAACAATTTGTTTTCTTTCAATTGTTTTTTTTTCATTAAAAACATTCAAATCACAAATATAGACTCAAAAACATAATCAATCACTTTATCACTTTAATATTATACAATATGGTTAGTTAAAATGTTGTTTCAAAAGTTAATCAAATTTTTTTTGGTACTAACTGAATGTTTTGCTCTATGCTCTGGTATTGACAGAAGAATATCTTGCTTCAACGTTTTATTTATGCACACATTCTAATAGTCTTGAATAAGTTTTAGCGCTCTTTTAGCAGGATCATTTACTACATGGAAATTTAACCACGGATTGAATTTAACCATAGTGGAAATTTAACCATGGATCGAATAGAAATGTCAAATAATTTTAGTCAAATATTTTAAATATTTTTTCTGTGTTTTCCAAAGATTTTGTTAATGTTGTACCATCTATTGAGCCACGTACCACTACTTACGCAAATATTAACAAAAACATCTTTTCAAAAGCATCAATAGAAAATCAATTAAAAGCATTTAACAAATTTAAACCTGCAGTGATAGATTATTTTCATCCTCATATGCTAAATGAAATGCACTCTTTAATTTGAGCAAATCAAAAAGATTTGCTCAAACTTGAGCAATTCTTTTTGCTCAAGTTTAGTTCCAAATAGCCGGAAGTTAGCTAATATTACACCTATCTACAAAAATGGTCAAAAAACTAACCCTGAATACTACCAACCAATCTCAATTATATCTGTTCTATGCAAAATGACGGAATGACTTTTTAGAGATGCAATACTTAAACATTTACTTTTGAAAAACCTTCTTGACGCAAACCAACATGGCTTTACACCTGGTAAGTCTTGTTTAACCAATTTTTTGGAATCATTTGATTTAATTACCCATGCTATGGAATCACGTTATGACGTTGTTATAGTTTTGCTTGGCTTTGCCAAAACGTTTGATAAAGTTAGTCACCCGCTACTTCTTAAAAAAGTTTGTGCCAATCGTTTTGACAAATATATCTGCCAGTGGATAAATGCACTCCTATCCAATCAAAAACAACATTTTATTATAGAAAATTCAGTATCCCACTGGTTGAACGTCCTCAGTAGTGTACCTCAGGGTTCATGTATTGGACCATTACTATTCCTTATTTTTATTAATTATATGCCTCATCTACTCAATCCCCATTGCAAACTTTATGCTGGCGACACCAAAATTATTGCAATTATAAAAGAACCCTCTGACCTGCAGCGATTACAAACCAACATCGATAGAGTAGTTGACTGGGCTGATACTTATATGATTTTTAATAAGCATCGTTGCACACAACAATTAAACAATAAAACTTTTGTTGATGATAAATTTAATGATCCCTGCTTCCAACTAACAATGAATGACAAAACTGGCTTTTCTCACATTCTTAAAGAGACCATCTCTGAACGTGATCTTGCAAAACTTTTTTATGTAACTGTGTGGCAGTTGATTGAAATGCGCTGCCACCAGATATCATTACCTTCGATAGAAATGCACCAGATATTGTCAACATTAACACTTTCAAAAAAAAGCTTGACAGATTTTTTGGCTCACTTCCAAAAAAAACTGTATGATTGGTACTTCTGTTTCTCGTTTGGGAATGTTATTAACTCAATATGCCAATAATTTTATTTATTTATTATTTTTGTTTGATAATCCTCTATACTGAATCTACCATAGCAGGGATTGGTTGCTTTCCCAGCTTCACGGATTTTTCCATTGTAGATTAAATTTAATAATAATAATAATAATAATAATAATAGTAATAATAATAATAATAATAATAATAATAATAATAATAATAATAATGTAGTTTATAAACCCAGTCCTTAAACCTTCTGTATATGCAGTATTTCCCCCATTCCTTACAACTAACTTGACACCATTCAAGATCGTTTTTTATAAATTCAAGGTTCTCAAAAACTAATCAGCTTATGCCTCCTACAAATGACGACAGATTAGAAGTATGTGGATTTTTGAATTGCTTATGAAAATTTGGCTTGCCAACATCCTGTTTAGAGTCAGAGTTAAACAACTTTTTAGCAACACTTTCTCTAACTTCGGGCATTAGTTCCTCGTCAGCTATGGAGAAAACAACTGTTCTCTGGTTGTGGTACCAATGATGTCGTTTCATCACGTCAATACATGCTTAGACTATATCAGGTCTTTTAATTTTATAATTTTCCATATCTCTGATTGCTTGTAAATCCATATCTGGAGCCAAACATGTAAATCCATATCTGGAGCCAAAAACTGTAAAACGTGACATTTTGTTTGCAGAAAAAAGATTTGAATCAAGCTGTGGACTAAGAAGACAAAGTACAAGATTATAGATTGATTGAGCAAGATATCTTGCATGATGAAAGGCACCATGTCTTTTAAAATGAAATCCCGTGACAATTTCCCCTAAGTATACTGTTAATTGGCAAATGTACTTATAGTCACCTCTAGGAAATACGTTTTCTTTTAAAGCTTCACTGCAAAACTGCAAGACTTTATCAGCGTAGAAAAAATGTTTATTCAATTAATTATGAGACATCATTTGTTTGTTGGTAAAAATATGCTTTATTAATGTTATATATTTTCTTTCCTAAAAATAAGTCTTAACAGTTTAAAATTTCTAAAATATTTTTATCCTTCCTTATTTTTAATAAACGTTCCACAGTTATTTTTCCAGTTAAACTTGTTCATATTCTCATAATTTATTCCTTTAGCAAACATTTTATCCCAGTTGTAACATTTTAAATGTATTGTCTGTAGGTCCAGTTGTAACTTTGCCTGTTTTGCTTGCTTTTTCTATTTCTTTAGCTTGGTGTCTACAATGCTAACCAAATTAGTACTTTGCCTCTCCATCTCTCAATAATTAACACTGCTGCATTAATCCATCTAGTATTACTCGCAGTTGTATCAAAGGATACACTATCAACTGCTTTAAAAAGATTCCATTCATTTAAAACCTTTTTTATTGCAGTAGCCTGGGTTATTCCACACCCATCAGATATTTCAATTACTCCAATAAGCTGGGGCTCATTGAGATCTGGTGAGCTTACAATTACTACCAACCTTTCCATATTTTTGCCATGATTAAGAACATCTGTAATTTTTTTTGTGTCCAGGTCAAGAGTCAGAGATAAGGGTTTTCGCTTTTGAGATAAAAAATTCCTTTATTTTAATTCTTTAATTTGTTAAGACCATTTTTTAATGCCTTCTTGAAGTTGTTTCTGGTAGTGAAAACTTATTCAAATCTCCATTACCTGCATTTATGGTACTTGCAATTATAGCTACCTGACCAGTTGAAGAAATATTGTATCTTTTTGCAACAATTGATGTTGATTTAATTATATCTTTAGGCAAAAAAACCATAACAAAATTGTCAGTTTTTCTTCCTTTTTGAATTGTATTCTTTAAAGTCTATATCTAACTCATCTGAAGTCTACAAATTCAGTATCAAATGTTTTTGAAGACTTTATTGAAAATGTTGTCAGACGATTGTTGACCTATTATTTTTGCTTGAAATTGATTTGTTTTTGCAATCTTTCTTTTTATAAACTTTTCATAAGTTTTATCCTTACCATCCATTGACCACTTTCGCAGGCTTTTTTAGTTGTCCAAAAACATAAAATCTTCTTTTCTGGTTAGAAGTGATTTATTTTTATCTTTCATTATTATATCATTAACATCTGAAGGAGAAATATTGAAAAAATTACACATTTCTTCCCGAAATTCTATGCACGATTTTTTATACCCATTAGATACTTTATTTCTGTTCGCTTGTAATTTACTTCTACGATTTTCCAATTCCATAATGTTATTTCTATAAGACATATGTATAAGTTAATAAGTAAAGTTAATTTCTAGCATTTTATCATATTTATACCAACATTATTTCCGTCAAAATTAGAAATTTAAAGTATTATTTATACCTTATTTGTTTATGACACAATATTGGAATTGAAGCCTTTTCCCATATATTAACTAAGGCTTTAGTAACACACATCAAGCTGTTCTCTTTCGTCTGACAACCACCATATTTGTTACATTTAGGTATAAAAAAAAAATTAGAAAGAGGGCAGGTAACAACGTCCTGAAGTCTAGGAGATTTAGAAATTGATGTCATAAAGTATTTTCTATATTGAAGATATCCAAGCACTTCTCCTTTTGTTGGCAGCTTATTATCAGGTAGCTTTTCGATGGTTTTTTATGCCAAAAAAACTTTTTTTGATTTTGTTTGAGACATCTCATATATTTTTCCAAATTCTAGACAATAGTAAGTGCAATGTTTAATAAAAAATTCCTTATATATGTTTACAATGTCCCTAGCGATTTAAATTAAAATCGTGCGCGATCAAAACCTTGAATTATACATATGGTAAAACTAGTAATAAACCTGTTTTATTGTATAATTTTTAACATTTAAGATTTCCCAAGTGAGTATTTAATGTTACATTTTAAGTTTAATTTATTCGTCTTTAATAAGTTACGTAAAATACTAGCGTAAACAATACTATTCGCTAAAACAAGGAGGTTTGAAGAAAATGTTAAAAGCTTCAATAGACTGGAGGAGGTAGTAAATTTAACTTAAAAAAAAAAAAGTTTATAATTTTCTCTATTTACTCATCAAAATGTACCAGAAATCAAATGACGACCTTTGAAAATCAATCATTTTGCAGAAATGGCAGGGGCTAATGCACGTATATATATATTGAAATTTTTATTTTCATTTATATTTGTTTAAAAATAAAAAATTTTTAAATGTGAGCATAAATGCAAACTGATAAGTACTTTGAATAACTTTACAAATACTGGTGTAAATAAAAACTTGTGTCTGTACTTGCATAGTTGCATGCTATTATTGATATCATTTTTGTTATTGTCTTCTTCCTTTTTTTTACATAAATCTATAAAAGGTATGGTAGTTGGTATGCTGACATTTTTTTAAATTTAATACTTGTTGCTCTTAAATAAAGAAACAGTCAAAAAATTAGTAGGATATAAACTATTCATTTTATGAATTTTTTTTCATTTGTCATTAAATGCGTGAATAATTTAAACCACTTTTAAAATTGGATCTTAAAAAGATCATGATTATAAAATTCTGCATTTTTTTTTAATTTTATAATTATTGTAATTTATATTAATTATTATAATTTAGGTATTTGAGATTCTCATACATAGACTTATAGAAGTATCACAATGGAATACATTAGATCATATTCTTAAGGAATATTCTCCTCTCTTCAAATTCTTAGGTAAAATATAAAGAAAGATGTTGTTATATACATTGATAATTTATGTCTAACAACAATTAAATATATTTGATTATATTAACTAAGTGTATTTTAATACAATATATCATTCACTACAAAAATCACTTTTTTATCATTAATTATTTTTGTATTTTAAAACAGTTATTTACAAAATCTAAGAAATTTAAAGAATATAGCTTTAAAAAAAAAAATCTAATATTAGCTAACTAACTTTTTTGAATAACTAAAATTAGTTAACAAACTTTTTTAATTTTTTAAAGTTATTTAACTGAAATTTAATCTAAAATTAGTGGACTAATTTTTAGTTTATTAATTAATTAGTTGACTTTTTAGTTTGCTAAAATTAGTGAACTAAATTTTATTTTTACTAAAGTTGACTTTTTAGCATGAAAAGAATTGTTGTGATTGTTATGCAAAATGTTTTCATCGACCAAGTTATACAGTAATTGTGCAGTGATTTGATCGCCTACTTCTAACTCTTCACTTACGGTGTAAAGTTATTAGGTTTGTGCTTCTTTTTTGAAGAGTTGTGACAGATATTCCAGTTTAAGAAGAAACGATATAGCTGTATCTAATTAGTCTTTGTCTGCCTTGTCTGCAACCACTATTAAAGTTGGAAGTTACTGGAAAAAGGAAAATGAAGATTATAGAGCAAGATAATGATTAACAGACAACTTTAAAAATTGCAAATTATATAAATCAGGAAAGCAAGATGAAGGAAGCAAATTCCAAAGAGCTGATGTTAGAGGAAAAAAACTAGTCCAAGAATTTTTGGGGCACTTAGGAACAGTCACAGTAAAAAAATGGGACTTAATTGAATGACCTGTAACACGAGAAAGAATTTTAGTAGATGGCACAAGAGATACAAGCTCTTTAGAGCAGTGTCCATTATAGTATTTATAGAAAAGAGAAAGAGAAGCAACATTATGACGTAGTGATAATGTTTGGATGTTGGCTGTAAGAGCAGGTCCAACTATGTTTACAATGCGTTTTTGCACCTTGTCTAAAAGAGAAAGGGCATCATTAGAAGATTTGCCCCAGATGTGGCAACAGTTTCCATACAAGGACAGATTTAAGATTTATAGATTAAACTCTTGCAGATTCTAATTTTACAACGGATTTGATATATGGTTTCCAAGAAAGATTAGAAGTAAGAGTTAACCCTAGAAGGTGAAGGGTAGATGACTCATTGAGTACATAACCATTCATAAATATAGGAAAATCTAGATTATTGTGATAACGATTAGCTAAAAAAAAAGCTTATATGAGTTAATGTTCATCATCTACTGAGAGCCCCATGTTGTAGCAGAAGTGAGATTCTTTTCAAGCTCAAATGCCTCCTCCAAGCAATCAGAGAAAGTTGGTTTCTTATCAAGACAAGAATAAATGGTATTTATTCTTGTCTTGATAAGAATTTCTAGTAGATTGTTAATGTAAATCAAAAAAAGTAAGATTGTTAATGTAAATCAAAAAAAGTCAAGGATAGAACCTAGAAGAACCATTAAAGTTACAGGATAAGAAGAGTGCTGTTCATTGAGGACAACTTTTATACTACAATGAGTAAGAAAGGATTCAATAATCTTAAAGATTTTACCTGATACACCGTAAGAAGAAAGCTTATGGAGAAGACATGCCAAACTTTATCATACGCTTTAGAAATATTAAGAGGGATAAACTTAAAAATAACGAAAGTGTAAATTGTTAAAGATAAGAAATAAATAGATAAATAAAGATATAATTTTAATTATTAATTATTATACAATAATATATTAACTTATAATGCTAGTTAATGCTAAAAGCCAAAGTTTATACATATAATGTTAATTAACATATAATGTTAATTTATAAAAAATTTATAGTAACATGGTATTTAAAGTTGTTTTGCAGAATTTTTTTTGGATTCTTTTAGATAACACCTCCAATATTTTAATGAAATCATGATATGTAATTTATTTAGTTTTACTCTCATAAAAATCTATATAATATATACAGTAGCTTTCATAAATTTTTTTTTTCATATATGTAAGAAATACTCAAAATAAAAATAAAATAAAAGTGCTACCGCTATGTTTGATATATAATTTAAAAGAGGAAATGAAACTCTATTATAGAGTACCTTAATTTTTATTACAGGATGTTTATTACTCATTTTATACCGATTAACACAAAAAAGTTAATTGATAAACTTGATTTTATTTTGTTCATAAATTTAGACGCACAATTAAAAATATTATATCTTGTTAATTGATAGTTAATTAGTATTTTTTTTTTATATTTCTTTATTTTGTCAAAAAATCTTATATAAATATGACTTACCTGGAATTAGTTAATCATTATTTAATAAATAAACATAAGTTAAGTTAGTTTTGCACTAAAAAGACACGAAAAATGGGCAAAAGACGTATCACTCAAGGTGAAAGATGGCAAATTATTGCGCACATCAAAGAAGGAACCAAAAGTAATAGAAAAATCGCCAAGTTAATTGGAGTTTCTAAGAAATGCGTTCGGACAACGAAACAAAACTTTCTTCACACTGGTGGTGCCAGCGAGAAAACGAGGCCAGGTAGACCCTTGTCAACCATCAGAAAGGACGATGGTGTTCATTTTAGAGTTGTCAGAGCTAATCCAAGAATTAGTTACAAAGAATCAACCACAGAATTCAATACAACGCGAAATACATCTATTTCTCAAAGCACAGTCCGCCGAATAGATATCAAATACAAGATTGGAGTCTACACTGCTTTAAAGAAACCGCTTCTGCGTCTATATAATAAACAAAGGAGACTAAAATGGTGTCGTGAAAGAAGGTATTGGACAATAGAACAATAGGAAAACATTATGTGGAGTGATGAGAGTAACTTTGAGCTTATCAATCGCAAATCTAACATAACAGTCAAAAGAATGGCTCATGAAAAGTATTACGCCAGGTACATTAGACCGACTGTACAAAGTGGAGGAGGCTCGATAGGAATCTGATCATGCTTCAATTACAAAGGTGTTGGTATGTGCCAAACATACACCGCAAGAATCAACTCCAGAATATACGTAGAAGTACTGGAAAACAACCTAATTCCATCAATTGACCTGCTTATGCTCAATGATAAACCATGGAAACTTCAACAAGATAGCGCTACTGCACATACTACATACTATACAAAGGAGTGGTTCAACGATAATAATATTATGACAATACCCTGGCCTCCATATTCACCTGATTTGAACCCGATTGAAAACATTTGGGCTTGGATTGATCGTGAATTAGCAAAGGTTCAAATTTCCACACTTGGTCAGATGAAGGAATTCCTTAAGGAGACCTGGTATGGGGTCCCAGAAGCGATGTTCAAAAATCTTGTTGAGTCTATGCCTAGAAGAGTTCTTAGTTGTATTAAAGCAAAAGGCAGATACACAAAATATTGATTGGTTCATAAATTACGTCTTCTAATGTATCGTGCGTCTAAATTTATGAATAATTTTTTTTGTCTAATATTTTTAATACCATGTAGTTGTACCTAATTATTACTTAGTATTTCATTTTTTTTGTAAATTTTTTTTAAATTTTGTATTGTGTATGTATTTATCTGATAAATAGAAAAAAAACTAAACCAAAATCTTTTTTCATCATTGTTTTATCGTTAAAATACCTAAAATTTTCTATTCTCAAATATGAGTGCGTCTAAATTTATGAAAACCACTGTATAATAAATATACAGCCTATTTAATATATATAAGACTTGTTTTATTTACAACATAATTATAACAACTAGACAGTTACATTTATCATTTTATTATGTTTAATTGAAAAAATATCTTGTTTAACTATCAATTCAATTTTTGTTTAAAAATTCGTTATTAAAAAATTAGTGGTTAGCTAAGATATAAAATATCTAAAGGTCATAAGTTAGCGTATTAGGATATTAGGTATAAAATTTTAGGTATTTTTGACAGTAATTTTGCTAAAAACTATCATTTATTTTAGTCAAAAAAAATTATACCTAAAACCAAAAAAGAATTGAAAAATTCAAAGTTGATTATAAAATAATGAATGTAGTATTAGACAATGCCAATAATGTACACAACTGTTTAATTTCTTTAAAAGTTTGTTTGACCATTCTAACCAATAAAATGCAACGGATAATTTGTTTGAAAATTCAACCCCTAAGATGCATAGAATAGTTTGTTTGAACATTCAACCAATAAAATGTACAGAACATAATTGGCATTTAGTAGTTTCATAGATTTAGTTAAAGAAGGTGAAAAAGTAATTTCATTGCAAAAACAAAAATCAAGTGCAAAAAATCTACATCAATCATCCTTCTTAACCTTTTGATTTATTAGAAGTCAAATGCAAAGTGTTTGTTGTGTTTATTCGTTTATGTTATTAAGTTTTTTGTAAAAAAAGCTAAATCTCCTAATTTAATTAGCTCCATTAAAAATAAAAATTGTTATCTTAAAAGTTCGTTCACTAATTTTAGTTAGAATAAAAATTAATCAGAGAGCTAAAAGAGCTAAAAAGTTAATTGACTAAAATAAGCAAGTTAATTTAATTTTTTACTTGTATTATAGAACATCATATACTTGTGTTATTGAATAATAGAACAATAATAGAACAGTGTATCATATACTTTTGTTATTAAATAGCCATTTATGTATTTTTATTATAAAAAATAAAATAACTTATTTGCATTATAGAGCAGCCAATCACATATTTGTATAATACTTTGCATTATTATGAGAAAAAGCTTAAAGAAAATGCAATCATAAAGCGAAAGCTTATGTTAAGCATATGTACTTCATCTGGCAACTTGCTTGATGGGTAATTATAAAATAGGTCATTAGTTTAATTATGTAATAAAATCTTTTCATAGTATTTTGATGCTTTTAATTAGATAATTATTCAATTTTAAATTTGTTATGTACTATATTTATAATTTTTTTTAATAGCATCTTTTCTACTGAGATTATCGAATTTATTAACAAAGAATCAGACACATGGGTTCCGAACATAGATTACTTTGTAGAACTCTTCCAAAAGTTTATAACTGGTATCTTTTTTTAAATTTTCAAATGCTAACCTTGCTCGATAAATAGACAGAAATGAAAAGAAAAAAAAGTATAACAGAAATAATCAAATATAACAGATATAATGATAAATTACAATATTAATATAATTATATAAAATAATATAATATAAAATTAAAAAGATAATAAAAAAGTATAATAGAGTCATTGCTGTTAATTCTAAAAAAAAAAATATTTTTCTTTTAAAAATTAAAATTGTTTATTAGAGTTTCTGTATAATTTTAATAGAATTTTATTCTGTTGCAATGCTTTATATTATCTTATTCATTTTATTTAATTTACGCATTTTTTAGTAATTATTTTTTGTTGATGTTAATAAGTAGATGGTAATAACTTCTTAGTTTCAAATCTTAACTGCATTTATTAACTACATTAGCAACTTTTTTCAACAAATCCCGTTCATCCTATCCTTCATTCGATTGGAGGTTCAATGAGTTTCTGAACTCCACAACATTAGCTTTATATGCAACTTGTCTGGAACTAATGATTTTGCCAATTAGTGCAGAAGATGTAGGTCATGCAATTGTTGATTTAGTCACAATGTGGTAGGTATGATTTATGTTCTTAAATAGTTCTTTTTTTTTTATTATGAATTTAAACTAATCTTAAGTAAATTGCATTATTTTAGCCATGGAAGCAATCAAACATTAATTAAATCAAATTATATGGAGTGGATAAATACTGCAGCTCTTTTGCTAACATCATTACCGGTATTTTTTTGAAATGGATTATAATAGTAACAATTTTAAATAATTGTTTAATGTTGCCTTGTTGAAATTAGACGCATTGAACCAGACATTTATGATTATTTTTCATTCTGGTTAAAAAAAAGTTTAGCATCATTTTTGTTATTTAATTTTTTTACACTTGATTACATTTAGATTTTCAAAAATATTATACTAAAGTCTGCGAATAAATTATACTTAGTGAATACATAATATTTGTTTTAAATATAATGTAATATATTAATAGTATTATATTAATATATTACATTTTAGAAAAATGCAAAACATATTCATAAATAAAACTGTAAATTATAAAATATGAGATATAAATTATCCGAAAATCAAATCAAATAAACATTTATTACATTGTGAGTTAGGCGTTTGTTACGCTAAACAGCTCATATATGCATATATTTGTGTGTGTGTGTGTGTATATATATATATATATATATATATATATATAATATATATATATATATATATATATATATATATATATATATATATATATATATATGTGTATATATATATATATATATATATATATATATATATATATATATATATATATATATATATATATATGTATGTATATATATATGTATGTATATATATATATATATGTATATATATATATATATATATATATATATAATATATATATATATATATATATATATTTGTGTGTGTGTGTATACACGAACATGGCTTTTAGAGATCGTATCTAAATGTAGTCAACATAAAAGTATGTGATGTAATCCAGACAACTTTGGCAAATAAAGTTCTTTCTTCAACATCTACTTTGCCTTCATTTTTTGATTTTCATGAAGATGGTTGTAACTTATATGAGGATCGCGTGCTTGCAATGTTTCATGCAACATGGCTACATGCAACTATGGGCCAGTTCTATACACTCTCTAGGTAATTTTTGGTGTTCTATTTATATGCGAATAATTGTGTGCGTAATAGTGTAAAAATTTTCTGTTATTATACATTTTATTAATATATATATATATATATATATATATATATATATATATATATATATATATATATATATATATATATATATATATATATATATATATATATATATATATATATATATATATATATATAGGGCCGTAGGAACAAAAATTATATTGGATGGGCAGTACTACCCCAAAATAGTTTTAAGGACCTTTTTTTTTTTCTTTTTTTCAGTCAAAATTATTTATTTGAAAAATTTTTGGGGAGGGGGGGGTGTCAAGTGTCCCTGCTGCCTACCCGGTTGCTACAGGTCTGATATATATATATATATATATATATATATATATATATATATATATATATATATATATATATATATATATATATATATATATATATATATATATATATATATATATATATATATATATATATATATATATACATATTTTTTTTCACCAGATTTCTTCAAGAAACCCTCAAACCTTTGATCCATAACGAAACCCAGCTATTGTTTGTATTTTGTATGTTTGGTCCATTTCTTCAGCGATTTCAAGAAGAAAGATCTGGAACTTTATTTGAGGTTTTTTATATTGACTTATACTTTTTGCTAAATATTAATTTCAAAAATTAATTCGTTTTTGATATGATTCCATTCATAATTTCAATAATAAAAATTTTTATAAGAGCGTAAAAGTGAAATAACATAAAAATAATTTAAACTAAATTGCGCTAAAAAACTTTAGTTTAATTTTGACATTCCTGTACTGTAAAGAATTTATTAGACTTTTTTGAAACAGGACTAAAATTCAAATTTTAAGTTAAGATTTTCGACTTTTTTGAATAATTTAAATAATTAAATAAATTTTTGGTTATTATTATTCATGCAATTTGCAGATAGCCAAAGAATTCTACTATCTTCTTGAACAAGTTTGTCGCAATTGTGTATCATTAGTGTTTGTAGATCTTATCGCCGATTTTCTGTATCTTTTCAATTACTTATTTAATATTCGCTGCATCAAATGGTTTATTGAATAGAATAATACCCCATTGAAACTTTACAGCTCCGAAAATTTGGTTTGATAAAGCGAAAACTCGTTATATACAAATACAATATCAAAAATAAATTATATATAACATGGTTTAGGCATACCGTTATTTAATTGTATCATTACAAATTCAAAACTTCTTTTTTTTCTATAATAACACAGGTTTAAATTTCTTAACATGTTTTACTTAGCTATCACATAAAGTATATGTTTGCCGGTGATCATTTGAGAGATGCGGTTGAGAGTACGTTACACAGCTTTCATCCTTCTCTTCAAAATAAACTTAAGTTTATGGTTTTTCCAAAGAAAGAAGATATTTCACATCAGTAAAATAATGTTGCGTTTATTACTATACGTAAAAATTTAGTTTTTTGACTTTTGTTTTAAAAAGTCCACATAATCATAGACTGTTGCGTCAGATATTTTGGTATTTTGGTAATCCCATAAACGTATAAGTAAATCAATGTTTTAGGCATTAGTCCGGATGAATGAAAAAAAAGCAATTGCTTTTACTCAGTAATTGGTTAGCTTTACATGAATAAAAACTTCAGTAATTTTACTTAAATTTTTAATCAAGTAAAGCTGACCAATTACAACGCGTTTTTGGTGTAAATGGCTTGACTTTACGTAAATAAAAAGTTGAGCTATTTTGATCAAATTTTATTGACGTAAAGCTGAACAATTACTCCAAAAATGCTGAGTATTATTTATCCGGCCTATTGATTAAAAGCAAAGATATCTGCACTATCAACTGTTATAAATAAAAATAGCAAAACAATAGGTGACAGATTCATTATGCAGGAATAATTTTATTGATTATAATTTCCAATTATTATCTAAATTATTGGAATTAATATATTTTACTATTTCATGCTTGTACCGTGGGGGGGGGGGGGGGGACGATCTTCGACTGCAACGATATCCTTTAATAATCAAAGTTTCATGCAAGTTTTCTTATAAAAATTTAGCAAGTTTTTATTTGCTATTCTAAACTCTGAGCTTTTATTAAACAAAGCTTTCATATCAATTAAAACATTTTAAACATATGAAGTATTTTAAATGACACATTTATTTTCCAAATATTAGTTTTAATGTGCAATAAAATGTTTACTGAAGGAAAAAATAAAATAAATATTTCTATTTATTTTATAAATATGGTTATTACTTTAAAAAAAGACGCTAAAAATTATAACGCACATAGGATTTCAGTTATTGTCTGACTTGTAACATTTAACGCGTTAAACATTTATTCAGTTAAAATGACCAAATGAAGAGAAGGCATTAAACTTAATAAAGTTATTAGATCGGAATTTGTATCTCTCTAATCTAAAAGTTTCAATTTTAGTGTGTATATATCACACACGCAGACATTATGAACCAATCACGGCATCCGTGTTACTGGTGTAGGGGAGAAGGAGGCAGCTTTGAAAAAATGTATTTGTGAACAGCGCATGTATTTAAATTAAGTATAGTTAATTATTTTATGAAGAAAATACTTACCTCACATCTGTCGCTTGAATATGTTGCCGTTTGATATAAGATGGAAAAACTAGACGATTTTTTTGTTTTCGAGTACAAATTTCAAACATTTGGATAAAAAGTTGTAAGACTTTCCTGACCATAAATTTTTAACAAGCGGTGAACTTAATGTTATTTTTTATATAGAATAATTTATTCTTTTTACAATAAAGCCAAAAAATTTATTTAAAAATTGTTATTTTGTTTCCATAAATATTCTCATTTACTCTCTAAGACCCCATTGGGGCAGTTTTTTAAAAAAAGAGCGCGTTATCTTTACGGTTACCTTTTTGAATCATTTAATGCATTGTTTCAACTTCCCGCACTTTATTGCTTCATTATTTATGGATTGAATTTTGATTATTTAATGATAAAAATGGTTCGATATTAAAAAAAAAAGAGAGTGATTAGAGTCATAAAGGAATGTTAATAATGCTGTTCTCCAAATTCCAAATGGATTAATGAAGCCAAACGAAGTTGCTATAACCTATAATTTAAAACGTAATTCTTCTTATTACAGAATAAAGAAGCGTAAAAATTCATTATCCAAGACCAAGTTAGGGTTTTACAAGTAAATATACAGTCGCACAAGTATTTAATGAAGATGAGGAAATAATGTTGAAAAGCTATCTAATAAAAAGCTCTAAAATGAACTATGGGTTGACATATAAACAAGCACAAGAATTAGGATTTCATTATGCAATGAAATTTTGCAAATGTCCAAGTAAATAATTAGAAGATAAACAAGCTGGTATAGAGCGGTTGAAAGGCTTCATGAAACGCCACCAAGAACTTTCACTTCAAAAACATGAAAATACGAGTTTGTCTCGCTCAACGAGTTTTAATGAGCCCAATGTAAATCAGTTTTTTGATAACTATGATAATAATATTAAAAATATGATAAAGTATTAAAAACTTTTTGTTAATAATGAAAAAGTATTAAAAAAGCATCATTTCACTCCTGATAGCATTTATAATATTGATGAAACCGACATGACAGAAGTAAAAACACCCATATTGTAGCGTCACGTGAAACAAAACAAGTTTGTGTATCTGCTGAACGTGGACAATTAATTACTAAGTGTGGTAAAGGAGAACCACCTGGTTGTATTAGTTATGCAAACAGTCTAAAAAGTGGCTGGATGACTGGGCCATTGTTTTTAAAGGTTCTAGAACATATAAAAAAACTAGTCAGATATTTGAAAGAGGATCCTGTTTTACTCTTAATGGATAATCATAAAAACCATTGTACATTAGATGTGATCAATTACTGTTTTGAAAATGGAATGGTGGTTTTAACATTTCCCCCTCACTGCACACACAGAATGCAACCTTTGGACGTGGCAGTTAATGGTCCATTTAAGCAAAAACTGCCTATTTCTCAGAATGATTAGCTTGTACGTAATTCGGGGAAAACAATAACAATACACGATTTAGTTGGCATAGTGACATCAGCATACACTACAACATATATTGCCAGGAATATCTTTTACGCAAGAAAAAAAATGAAATCTCAGAAATTTCAAAACAGAAAACCTCTAAAATTAGATCTAAATCCTCAAAACTAAAACAAAAAATACTTTCTTTGTTGAGTTACACTTTAAACTATTTTAATTTACAATTTTCAAATTTTGTTGCTTGTAACGAGTCTTTTAAAATATATGTATACATATATATATATATATATATATATATATATATATATATATATATATATATATATAATATATATATATATATATATATATATATATATATATATATATATATATATATTCTTTATTACGTTGTTAATATTTTTTTCTTAACTTTAATTTATGTTGAATGTCTTTTAAAAACTATTTGATGTTGTTTTTTTTTACTACAGGGTGGACACGCTTCCTAAAAAATCCTAAATTTTCCTAATAACTGAAAGTTTTCTGATAAAATTATAATCATATGACTTTTGTTTGGTCAACTCTTTAGAGAGATTGTAAGATTAGATAGTATAGAAAATATATTCGATCCTTGCTATTTGAAACTTAAACATAATGAAATTTAAATATAAATCAGCTCTATTAAAAAAAAAAGTAATTTTATCACTAATTATTTACATTTGCCAGAAAAAACTCAAAGGTACCCCATGCATATTCAAAACTGCCCCAGGCTGGGGCAGGTTTGAACATTTTCGCTCACTTTACTAGAACAAGAATACTGACTTAATATTTGACTTACAATTTATACAAATGAAGTCATTTTTTTCCTTAATGATTATTTTAACTTTTCAAAACAAAAAAGTTGTTAAAAAAATTCTTTTTTGATTTATAATAAAAAGTGTTCAAAGGTTTCCCCCTCTCCCCTAAGCTATTAAAATATAAACACCAAAAAAAAGCTTCCGTTGATTATCGTAAATATAAACAACAAAAAAATTTCTATTGATAAAATTTCTATTGAAATATCTTTTACTCTCCCATATCAAAATTTGACAATAATATTTATATTATGAAAATATTTATTAAATGTTATCTATATTACTATGTGGTATGTGTATGTATATATTATTTTATAACCAGTTTCTTTATAACCAAATGTTTTGTTTACACTAGTATATGTATATATGTATTACACTAGTATATGTATATATATATATATATATACATATATATATATATATATATATATATATATATATATATATATATATATATATATATATATATATATATATATATATATATATATATATGTATATATATATATATATATATATATATATATATATATATATATATATATATATATATAGAATTTTGGCTTCGCCAGGCAATCTTTTAATTAAAAAATAAAGTGTTACTAAAAGTTTATTTTATATATCGACACGTTATTTTTTAATATATATATATATATATATATATATATATATATATATATATATATATATATATATATATATATATATATATATATATTTATATATATATATATATATATATATATATATATATATATATATATATATATATATATATATATATATATATATATATATATATATATTTATATATATATATATATATATATATATATATATATATATATATATATATATATATATATATATATATATATATATATATATATATATATATATATATATATATATAATATATATATATATATAATTTAAAATGTATTCCACAAAAAGAGTGCTCAATGTTCTTAAAAAAACAGAGCAATTACAAATTAGTAGAAAATCACTTTGCAAAATTTTTTTCATTTAACACTGTGTTTCATCAATAAAGACTCATCAGATTTCTGATGAGTCTTTATTGATATATATATATATATATATATATATATATATATATATATATATATATATATATATATATATATATATATATATATATATATATATATATATATATATATATATATATATATATATATATATATATATAAATTAGTAGAAAATTAGAGACATGGCATGATACACAAAAATCAAATTGTAATTATATTTTACCATTTTACAAACTAATTAGTCAACCACGAGAAAGTGAGGAGGATTAGGAATTTATGTCTTAGAAAAGTATGTTTTTAAAATAAAAAACATATTATGCTTTTCAAATAATAATTATGGAAGTTTCTTCATTGAAATTATTAATAAAAAATACCGAAATATTTTAATTGGATGTATTTATCGTCCACCGAATGGAAAAATAAAAAACTTCGAAACTTTTATCAGAAATACGATTATGAAAATAAAGAAAATAAAACATTATGTATTACTGGTAACATAAATCTTGATGTTTTATCTGACACTATATTTCCGAAAATAAGATATTTTTTTGATATTTTTTTAATGTTTA